AACGGCTGGGAGATAGCTAGTTCTTAACTAGTCATGGGTAATTAATGGCTCCACCTTCCCCATCAATCAGCTGGGAAAAGCCAAAAGGATTTGAGTGCTTGCAGCAAATGTGTGTTCTCCAGACATGTTGATAGGCAGTGTGCAAATGAAGTGGCAGCAGGAGACCATCTGATGCCTTTTCATGGAAAAAACAGTAAGTCATGATACATCCCACGCTCCTGTCAGGTAAAGTCTGAAATTCCCAGTGCTGCTGCTGCTGCTGTGTGGTTTCTGACAGTGTGGGATGTCGATCCATCTCAATAGTATCTTGAATCCGACCCAATTTTTGATCCATTTTCCCTTTTCAGATTCTGATTACAGTCATTGTTTCTGCTTTCTGCAGTTAAAATACTAGCATTGCAAAAGCATGGGAAGCAGATTGGATGCTGGCTTCCCTTCTGTGGCAGAGCAGAAAAGCATTTCTGCATCCTGTTCCATTTGTGTCTGGTAGTGACTCTGCAAGCACAAGAGGAGGAGATTTGACCTTAATACCATTCACAGTTGATCTTTTTCCTTCCGATTTGTCCTTTGACATATGTAATAAATGGTCTTCAGTTGAACTACAAGTTATGTTACCCCACTACATGACAGCCTCCACCTCAGTGGTACTGAGACCCAGGTTTGGATTTAGCTGAAGAAAAGCCTGTAGTCTTCTGTGTGGCCTGGTACTTTAGAGGTCAGGAAGGCCTTTGGAGGATGTGGTCCCACAAAGCTGCCAGGAGCCAATGGACCATCTGCAGCTATAAAACACTCCTCAGGACTTACCAAACTCCCAGCTTCTTTCTTGTAAATGTTCTTTCTTGCCACAATAAACAGTGGCCTTTCTTGTCCTCCCTGCACAGTACTGGGATGCTTGAAATTCAAAGTAATGATGAAAAAGAGCCGTAATGAAAATCCTCTGAATAAACTCTTTGTCCTCATTGCATGTTGTTGCCTTCCCTACTCCAAAAAGCACTACATGCAGAACTGAAGGGATATTTTTCTATAGGAACTGACTGTAAACAAATTCAGAATGCTTTGCATGTCAGTCTAAAAGTCAGATGTCCCAATAATGTCACTGACTGAATAAAAAGTGTTTATTTTATTGTGAGCAAAACTAGACCACGAATCAGCTGCAACCTCATAGTGATGCTCTTTGAGATGAAGCAAGGAGCTCCTAAGTTTTGTCGTGCAGGATCCAGCTCTGGCCCATTGAGACTGATATCCTGCTTTCGACCTCCTCTTTTTGAACTCTATATTTGACCTATCAATGTTAGTATAGCTGTTTCTATACATGAATGCATGGAACTCCCTCTTGACCGAGGTGTAGTGGCTGGTTTGTGACCTGAAGCATGAGGCTTGATTGCTGTCTCTTAGCACTTGTAAGCACTTGTAAGTACAAAAGCTAATGGTCACACTTGCAGAATAAACTAATTAAGGGAAAGCACTGCAGTCCTTCGGTTTGTGTGCAGCCTTTCATTCAGTAAGGGCAGGCCTAAATAAAACCTGTGCCTGATCCACGCTTCAGATTTTTAGGTCACTTGCACCTGGAAGGTTGGTTGGTGGCAGTGCAATGGTGTGCTAGCATAGCTGTGTCGTTAAAGCCACGCAGCTTTCATTGGTGAGGCACTGCTGAAAAGATAAGTTGTGAGCTTGAGGACATCTGATGCAGCAGTGAGAGTCATGCCTGTAAAAAATGGTAAAGTAAGAAAGTTAACTGTAGTTAAAGGCTGTGAATGGAGAGATTGGCTCGGTAGGTAGCCTTAGCTGATGCACTTCTGTTAGTGGAGAAGGCATCTTTTGGTGGATGCATACGTTACTGCAGTGTCTCAGTTTTGAGATGGTCTCAAACTTTAAGTTTTCCACAAGCTGTTAATCGCTCGGGAAGGAAACAGCTTCCTGGTTCTTTCACCTTTCCTGATTTGACATAAAGGGATTCTGTGCTCTGGACATGAGAGTTTTATCAAATCCTTGGAACGGCCAGACAGAATTATTTCCTTGCTGGTTAAGGGGCTTTTAGGTATTTATTTATTTGTAGGTAAGTCTTCCAGTAGTGATTTTAGTCTATTTGTTTAGAAGTGTGTTAGCAGTAAATCAAGGTGCATTTCCCCTGTAGGGTTTCCTGTATGTCAAAGCCATGTTAATTCTCTTTGATTTTCTTCCCTTAGCCCCAGCCATTGCTGCAGATCCTTCCTCTCTTTGTCCCTTTGGACATCAAAGGATTGCAAGAGGACAGCCCTGGCGAGAAGCTCCTCCCTGCTCATTAGCCTCCATAAAACAGGAACTCACCTTGGCTAGCTGTGCTTGGAGTCCCATCCGCATCTCGGTCACTCTTGACACTGGATCTCAGATGGAAGGGCTTTTGCTTGTTTCAGGACATCAGACCTGCTTCTGAACTGGACTATTTTGGCTCCCTTATTGAGAACTCTGGTGGCTCTCTCGGCTGTGTGACTTCCTAGACTCCACATTACATGGAAAAATGCAAGTTTTACCAGGTAGGTGCAGCTCTCCCTCCTATTCTAAGGTCCTAGACTTATGCCCAAAGTGTACAATAATTTTAGACAGAGAGTCAGTGCTCCTAGGGATACCAGCACTTGTAATTGTGTGACTAGAGATAATAATAATTATTATCATTATTGGAGTTTTGAGTGTTCTTTGTGAGCCTTGGTAGATGTTTTGCAAGGCAGTAGATGTCCACTCACAGCTGTGCCCAAAACTCCCTTATTTGGATCACCTTGTGCAATATAAATCCTGAAGGATAGAGGTTTTGTCTGCATATTGTCTGTGAAGTAGTGGAAGTTCCTTTGGGTTGAAGGTTTGGAAATATTCCTTATATTCCTAAGAACAATTCAGATGCAAACTATCTTTTTTGTCTATCCCTGTCTTTCTTCTGCCCTTTGAAAGTGAAAACCCCAAGGAGACATAGCCTACAATTTCTACCATCTTTTTATGCCCAAACACAGTATTTTTTGTTTCCATAAGGTATTATTTATGTTTTTCTTCATCAGTCCTTCTCATAACATGCTATTAACCTCTTTGTGGGACATGATCAGACTGGGCACGATGACAGATATGCACTGGGAAACAGAACCAGACCAGAGGCACTGCATTTGTCACTATAGCTGAAACCCAGATTTAGCCCAGTGTTTTCCAATGCATTGCAAGGAAAAGACTGCTTATGTAGCTCATGCATGCAGTTCACCCACACTGAGAGGTGGCTGGGTATTCTCAGCTTTTTTTCTCTGTTGTTGTAGTGTTGTTTCATAGGCAAAATACACGTACAGCGACTCAGATAAATTCTACCTTCACCATGGTTTGGGGGTTTTTATCAAACCTTCCACACTGCCACATCAAGAGAATTTTGACTTAAGAAGCAACAGTGCAGTACCTCACTGTGTGAAAGATTCCAGCTGTTTCAGAAGTTACCTCATGTTCTTATGGAGTCATTTTTGGTGTACGACCCCGCACAGCAGAAATAGGACTGCGTGCCTCTGAGAGGTGAAGCTGTAGCACTGGTAGAAACACAGTCCTTCTGTTAGAGCCCAAATCTTTGTGTTCTGGGAAACAAGGTGTGCTCCGAGGTGCGGAGGTGTTTCTGGCATTTGTAGGGTCAGAGAACGTGGGTTTCTTTGGCCGTTGGCAATATTAATAGATCCAATAGCTTTATATATGTTTGTGTGTTCCTTCCCTGGGGATTCTACATAGCTGTCCACATTAGGCTTCTAAACTGAGACAAATTCAGCATCACCCAATTGACTCTCATTTCCCTTCCTCTCCTTTCCATCACCAAAATAGGAAAAAAACATATGCAACCTATTCTAGTAAAAAACCAAAGCACCAACTGCTCTTATTTGTATCAGGACTTTAAAGAGCAGCATGGTATCGAGTGAAGATCTCTTAATTTTCAGTGCTGGCCTTTATCATAGCAGCTGTCTTCCCTTACAATCTCATAAAATGTATGTTTTAAAACGTGCTACATGTGAGGCTGCCACAAGAATGGTGATAGCAGTGATTGGTTTTAAGGTAACTTAGAACTAAAATTCTTGGAAGATGTTTAAAGCTCTCTCAAACCATCCTTAAAATAAAAACTAAACTACACAGAAGGAGAAACATCAGAAATACAGACTTAAAGAATGCAGTTCAGTGCTTGGATGCCTCACTGCAGACCTCTTTGTGCTGTAATTCCAGAGTCTTTGTGGACCTGAGCATGGCTCTGAGGTTAGCTGAGTTGGCACCGACTGGGAATGAATTCAGAACACCTTGCAGGCCAACTTTTAGCTCTGCCAGGCAAATCTGAAGTCCATCCTGCAAAAGGATCCATCACTGCAGTCTCCCATTGAAGGCAATTGATGCGACTTTGGTGGCAGCTGTGTGCCTCTGTTAGCAAGCTCATACCTTTGTATGCAAACTGTTCATATCCTGTTTCTCAGCCTCAGACAGGGCACACAAAACCTGTGACAAGAAGGACGTTAGCCACATTTTAAAGTCTTTGCTGCAGTGTTGATTGTGTGCCTGGCTCTTTGTCCTCCTCGCTCATACAGGTTCATTGGTGAAACCAGATTATGACATCTGCCTTTGATTTTTAATTCGGTATAGAACTTTTTGCTTTAATTCCTTTTGATTTCTTTGGAAGTGTCTCACTGAGGACCCCCAGGATCTGCCTCGTTGCAGGCTCATTTAACGGCGTTGGAATTTGCTTACAAAAATGTTAATTGTAAAATTCATTTGGGGGAAGGAGTGAGCATCTGTTGAGCTAATCAAAATCTGTTTGCATGTATTTGTGACTGGATGACTCCTGTGGGAAATCAGCCCGATTTTATTGTAACTCCTTTTGATACATGCGCTGCGCTGAGCTTCCCAATGCATCGTCTCGTGGCACTTTCATGTCTTTGCAAGAGGATATGAGGGAAGCTTTAGTAAGAAGATGTTAACAGGCTAATCCTAGCGAGCAGACTAGGTGTCACTTCTTAGCCAGTTCATTAATGTCGGATCAAAGCAGAAAAAAGGGTAAAGGGTATTTTTTTTTTAAGTGCCTAAAGACCTTTACAGGTTGACAGAATTATGTTCAAATGTTTCTTAATTCCTGGTAGAGGAGGCTTACATTGGGTTGCTTTTGTGGACACGTGTCACTTTCAGGAAGAAGCTGTTTTCTCTGGAAATAGTTGCCTTCTTTCCATGTCTGTTCTTTTAAAGGTATTACCAGGGGAAAAAGAAAGAAAAAAGAAAAAGATAAAATCCCTTATTTCTGATGTGCTCTGAATAAAATTCAATCCAAGCTAATAGGCAGAGAAGTTTCTGGTTTTAACAAATAGCCAAGTGTGGCTGATAATGCATGGCCAGGAAAGCTGACAGCTGTGTGCTGCTGAAGAGAGCACCTTCCACATGAGCATCCCAGTGATCTCCATCTCCAAGTCTGGTTAAGACCATTCTTTTCCCTTTTTTTTGGAATATTCATCTCTGTCTCCTCACTTTCTTGTCTCCTCTCACATGTGAACCTCCTGCCTGGCCCTTCATAGTCCTCTGCAGTGATTTTTTACCTCTGCTACTATCTGTTGTTTTCTCCCCTTGCCTGCTGCTACACTTAAAATATTTCCAATCCTTTCTGCTTTCATTTTATTCTTTTGGTGAAGTGTTTTGTGTAACCCTGCTCATACCAGAACAGGAGAAAAAGCGGATTGTGGCTTCCCACCTGTCTGACTTGTAGGATAAAAGAATTAGGCTGGGTTTGTACAACACATAAATCTTTACAAAAGAACTTACCAGCTAAAGCCAAACCTGTTGAATAAGCCTTTATGCCTTTAGAGCCTTCTAGGCAATAAGAATAGCCTTGGAAGGAAGATAATGGATTTTCCTTTAGAGAAGTATTGTGGCACTGGTTCTTGGCATCCTTCCTGGGTGAAATCACAACATTCACATACCTGAGCTAAACCAGTGCTGTACGCTGCAGTGATTTGGGGCTGGCAAGTCCCATGGGAGCATATGGCCAGAGCCCATCTGTTACAGCAACGTGTGGAATTTGGTAGCTTTGGGTACTGGAACTGGGAAGGATGACTTGATGCCCTCCTGCCCATCTGAAGTTCCTGTTTTCTCTCTCCCTGGTAGACATTAAAGCACCATGTGAAGCACTTGCTTCCCCCAGCCTGGAGCCCTACCCGCAGAGCTCCATCACGGTCACCCTGGAGGACATGGGTCTCTGGATGAAGTTTCATCAGATAGGGACAGAGATGATCATCACCAAATCTGGCAGGTGAGGGGACCAGGACAGCTGCCCACACCACACCCTTCTAATCTGTTTGCAAAACTCTGAGCATTCTTATTTCACTTGGTGACCCTCAGACTTGTAGCCAGTTGTGTGCATCTCCCTGCCTCTGGCACAAGAGTTGCATTTTCAGGCTGTCCTGGAGATCCAAACTGCAAAGTGCAAAAGGTCATCGTGGGGCTGATGTGCTGAGAAATCTCCTCTGCTCTTATCTCAGTACTTAACACTGATGTTCTTCCTGTTGCTGTGCTGTTGCTCTGGGAAGTGCCCTGGGCTTCCTTTGCCTTGGTCACAGGCAGCGGCACAGGAGCAGTCAATACCTGATGTTGATTCTGCATTTGCAGATGAAAACATGGCAAGGGGAGAAAATAATGCTAAGCAGGCTATTCTAAATCTGAGTCACGTTGTGGAGCTTGTGGTGAAAGAAAATGAAATAGTAATGTTTTATGTCAAAGCTGCTGGGAGCTAAAGTAATCCTGTTGGTAGGAAGGGAGGTGTTGAGGCTTTTCTGCAGACTCAGAAGATGAAAGTGGCGGTAGGGAATGCTGGAATGGAAAGCAAGATGTGCTCCTAGGTGTGCACAGCCCACGCTAGAAAAGGCTTTAATCTGTGCTCCAGGTCTGTGGTAGCTGCATGAAGCTAGCAGCAGCAAGCAAATCCCACTTATTTTCTTTAAGTTTTCCACTGCTGCAATGCAGGAGTTGGAGGCACAAAAGCAATAACAATGTCAGGCCATTAAAGACTGCTGCCATGTTAGTGCCTGTTCCACCTAAACCCATAGGATTGGATAATCAATACATCAGTGAGATAGTAAAAACATTTGGTAGCTGGCCTGTAAAAATACCACTACCAGGACTTTGTGCAGCAGTGAGTAAACATGACCTGCTGCTTCTGTAGGTCGTTAAACAGCATTTGCTAAGTATAGAAATTCTTACATTCATTTCTCCTTCAGACGAATGTTTCCACAATGCAAAATCAAAGTCTCTGGCTTAATCCCATATGCCAAGTACCTCATGCTGGTGGATTTTGTGCCTGTGGACAACTTCAGGTACAAGGTAAGCACTTTAGATGATAAAAGTTATGCTTTAATTCCATTTTTGTTTGAAATATCTTTATGCTTCACCAGCCAGGCTGATAAATAAATAGTCTTTGGACAAAGTTCAGAAGTAATTGGTGGATTTTCTGCCTCTCTGGAGCTATTTGTCACTTTTGCTTGGGGAGCAGCTGGAAAGGTAACTGATCTCCATTGTAACTGGTACAGTTTTGATCATGATTAATGTCAGACTTCTCTGATGGCCACTGGGAGAAAGGGAGGAAAAATGAGGCCCAAGCTTGGAGCTGTTTTGGTAAAACAGTCATGGCTCACAAGAGATAATCTGCTGCTTGTCAGGATTGCATGCCTCAGAGGAATCCTCCACATCAGACAGAGAAGCAGAGTTGCTAGGGCTATTTAAAATAAGTCATTTTTTTAAGCTCTAGATTTCCATCTTTCTCTTCACAGTGGAATAAAGACCAGTGGGAAGTTGCTGGAAAAGCAGAGCCTCAGCTCCCTTGTCGCACCTATGTCCACCCAGATTCCCCTGCTCCTGGCAGCCACTGGATGAAGGAACCTGTCTCCTTCCAGAAACTGAAGCTCACCAACAACACTCTGGATCAACACGGGCATGTAGGTTGTTGCTGGCCTCTGTGCCATGCTTTCTTGGAATTCACTGCAGATAGGTGTAAAGTGAAATAAGTGTGAAACATTAGATCACGTGGAAATTAAAAAGATATCCAAGTGCCCTCTCTTCCTTCCATAGTCCAGCCCTCTTACCTGCCTGCTAGGGAAGGTGCTGGCCTGTGCTGTCCATATAACTTTGCTCAGCATATTAGCAGTAGTTGCACATGGAAACCTTTGCCTTTGTCTCTGTGCCAGATCATCCTCCACTCCATGCACCGTTACAAGCCTCGCTTCCACATTGTGCAGGCAGATGACCTCTTCAGTGTTCGCTGGAGCATCTTCCAAGTCTTCAGCTTCCCTGAGACTGTCTTCACTTCTGTCACAGCCTACCAGAATGAGCAGGTAGTGTGCGAGTCCAAAGCATTGCTAAATACTTTGTCCTTAGAAATCTTGCATAGGAAGGTGTCTCCTCCAGAGGAAATTAACTCGAGTGTCTGTGATGGATAAAGGAAGAAAAATAGGCAAAATATGATTCTTGCAGAAAACATCTAGTCAAGGATGACGTGAATTGTGCATATTAATTGCATTAAGTGCACTGTCAGTGACTAACAGAACCCCAAAGGTAGCAAAAAATACAGACAAAAGACAGATATTAGGTATTCACCCTTTATATTCCTCTAGTTACATGAATCCCACCCAAATTCCCACTGACCCTGGGAAAGTCACTTCTCTCTGCAACTTACTCATAGAAGGAACTGCTGGGAGAACTCAGATACTGTGCCAAGGGCATCCCCCAGCCCCCTGAAAAAGCTGTTGTAATAAATACCAAGATGAAGATCTTGAAATAATAAAGGTCCCAACCAGAACTGAATCCTGGTCTTTTATTTTAAGATCACAAAGCTGAAGATTGACAACAATCCATTTGCTAAAGGTTTCCGGGAGCATGGGAAGAACACTCGAAGGTAAACTGTTTTTTCATCTCAACTTATGGATAACGTGAGTTTATCTGAATTATATCCAAGTCCATTGAGCAAAACAGAGCAGCTAGCTCTGCAGAACATTTTGCTTTGCACATTGCATTTATTTGTATATGGGAGTGATGCTGTGTAGTACCCTCCCCAGAGACTTGGGGAATAGGAGGAAACAGAGAATTTCCTACAGAAATATGAGAGATGTGACAGATTTGAGACCTGCATTCCATTGCAAATCAGGTCTAGACTGCAATCTGATACATTAATAGCAGTGATAAAGAGAATCCACAGTAGAACCTTCTGTCCCTGTGAGATCAGCTTAATTCTGATGTTGGAAGGCTCTCACATCTCCTTTCCTCTTGTGTGGAAAGGTGTCTCTACCAACAGGAAGTTTTGTCTGTGAGATGGATGCCAATACCAGTGAGATAAACTGTCTGCTCTGAGGGCAGCCACTAATTAAGGCTGAAAGAAATAACCCTGAAGGAAACCCATAGACTGGTAATGGAGAGTTTTCCAACCAGAAAATGGCATAAAAATATCTGAGATTTTGTTTTGCGTGCCTGAAAAGAAAATCTTATTTCCTGATGAAAAAAGCCAAAAGTGATTCTTTTTGAAAATGTCAGGGATGTTCTTTCTCTTCATAACAGGACTGTTTCTGACTAAGCTTAGTGTTATTGTCCACTTAGGAAAAAGGCTGCTTTCAAGCAAAATGCCCACCATACATATGCCTGTATGTACAGAATGTGCATCAGCTTTGCAGTACACTTACAAACTGTGCTGAAAGCTCCAGTGCTGAGATTTCCATGCTATTTTTGACTTTTGTACAAGAAGAAAGGGGCAGCAACCCCCTTACCAACATATCCCAAGTATTCTGTGGGGTGAGGGCTCTCCTGGAAGCACATGCAGCATTGGTTAACTCCATGATTCCACTCTGGCACACATTCCCTGTGGACCTGTCATATTGGTTTGGAAGGGGGTGTAACATGCAGAACATCAGGTTCATCCCACCTTTTGTCTTCCCAGGCCTTTGTCCTGCATCCCTTGCATACTTATGTAGATAGAAAGCTAACTTACACCCTAGCCCTGTGCACTGTTTCTTTCCCAGGGAAGGACGAGCCAAATCCCAGAAGCCAAGTCCAGCCAAGGGCCAGAAGAGAAAGCTGCCAGAGGAAAAGGAGTCTGGTGCTGAGGAACGTGGTAATTTTAACAAGAACAACCCCAGAGTCAGTCACAAACTGTGCCTAAGCCACAGGGGGGATAAGAGGCAGTGACATACCTCTGCTGTTCCTCACTGGAGAGAGTGGTTTGGGCAGAGTCCCTAAAGGCTGCTGCCTATGTCTTTGCAAAGCTGGAAAGTGGTGCTGACTCCCTAAATCAGGGAGATTGCTTTTAGGAGAATGAGCCAACAAATGGGAACCCTTTGTGAGGCCTTTGCCTCTCTTAATTTCTGCCTGCAATCTCCACACGTGTTTTCAGTTTGTCTGTCTCAGGATTATTAAGTCTCTGCATACGGTCCACAGGAGCCTGCTCACATCTCTTGTCATCAGTGACTGCCCCCAGCTCCAACCTTGCTTTGTGACTGCATGTGATTGATGGCTGTGCTCTTGTAATGTTTGCTCTTCAACAGTGACACCATCTTGCTGTGTCACCCATGGCTTTCTTCTGCCCATCTGCCTTGGTTCTTGTCTGTGCAGTTGTGTCAACCCTGGTGCTTGTGCAGCTGTGCTGCGATGCAGATAGGGGAACTGATACCATTTAAAAATAATCTGTACTCTTTCTGTTAGGTTATCTTTAAGCTTGATCATTCCTTGCTAGGGTGAGGGAATGGGGCAGAACTGAAAGCCACAATGTAAGAGTAGAAAAAAGCAGCAAAGGGCTAGTCCTTTAATCCTTTAAGGCAGAATGGCTGCAGAAGAGGTAATGGTGTGTTTCCTTCCCCCATCCTGCAGTTAATTCAGCTGCTAATAGAACACTGTGAGCTCCAACTCCCTCTTCCCCATTCTCACTTTTGTCTGTTCTTTCTTTCCCTACTGTGAGTCAGATTTTGAGAAAGATGAGAATGTGGATGTGAAGGAAGAGAGTAACCCCATCGTGGTCAGCAGTGGATACCCCTTCTGGATCTCAGAGCAGAACAGCAGCCATGCCTTTCCTGCAGCATCACCAGTGCCAGCTGAACAGAGGGAGGGTCCAGCCAGGGAGCAGCAAGTGCCTACATCATCCTACCAGACATACCGGTGAGTCCTGTCTCCTGGTGCTCTTGTCACAAAGCCATCCTTTAACTGATGAGATTCTTCCTCTTTTATAGGTTATTTCCTAAGGAAAAACAGCCAGTGTGAGTGAGAAGGCTGTTTTTCTGTTGATGCCATACTTGTGTGATAGGTGCTAGATCAGTGTGGAGATGTCTCTGTAGCAAAGTCTTTCTGTTTTACATGCATTCTGAGCATATTTATGTCTCAGTAATACTCTTTATTTCCCTGTGCTGAAATGCTTTCCTACCCAACTCTATGTAGCACAGAACTTGCCTGTCCTTTGGAGGAGTGGAGGACTCCAGTGATTGTTCCTTCCTCCCTGAGTTGTAGTGAGTGGCCTTACCTTCTTTTGGCACTAAATTTTTCTGAGTGAGTGACAGCAGGACTTGGACTAAAATCCATTTTTACAGTAAGAGAAAGCTGTAGGTAAGGGAGAGTTAATGTGCCATAAGCCAACATGTGAAGTTGGAGAACCCTTTTCAATATGTGTGAACTCCATTGGAGTACAAGATGGCTCACCTGCCTTTCCTGCAAGCATCCTCACATGATAAATGAATGTGAAATAGCTGACACATTGTAAATTCCCACCCCAGGCCAAGTCTTCTAGGTACAAGGCACTCACAGGGAATACAAAGAGCTAGGTTGTCTTTGTAAAGTGTGTTTGTTTTGAATGGCAAGCGGATGTTTGAAATGGCAGGGGAAGAGGGCAAGCTCTTAGAATGCCTTTCCCCGGGGATCTTTGTGGGTTTTCAGTGGTTTTCTGCTGCGGTGGGTTTGACTCACTGCTCTCTCTGCCCTTGGGGAACAGGTTCCACGAAGCTGGGGACAGCCAGCAGCTCCCCAGCCGCGACGTGGCTGCCTTGAACGACTTCCGAGCGAGGTGCCACCCCTTGGATCTCGCCACAGTGCCCGAGCACGACTCCAAACAGCTGCCAGAGGGCTTCACCAACCTGCCTCCACTGCCCCCACCTCTGCCCCCTCCCCAGGACTACAGCGGAGTGGTGAACATGGCTCTGGACTCGGTGGGGAAACCTGGAGCTCGAGCGCCCATGTACAGTCCTTATGGCACTGAGCAAGGCCTTGGGCAGTGGATGGTGCCACCCCACAGCCAGTACAGGGCGATGAGCTACTCAGCCTTCTCCACAGATTACAACACACAAGGGGCTTCGGGACATGCCCACGGGACCATGGCAGAGTGGAGCCAGTACCCACTGTTCCCCTATGCCTGCTGGTGAGCAGGGAGGATCCTTCCCAATGAAAAGACTGAAAGAAAATTGTAAATGAGAACAAGTTTGTTCTGGGGTGTTAACCTTGAAGCCTTGTCTATAGAAGGCGAAGAGGCATTGCTGCAGATGGTGGCATGGGATGCCTTCACTTCCTTGTCTCCTTGCACAACAACCCTCATGGTACTTCACAAGCAGCAGCTACAGTGCTAGCAGTCCCAGCTGTGTCAGGGCACGTCTGGCTCGATCTGTGTGTTCTGCAGTGCTTTTTCTCCTGCAGGAACAGGAAACCACAGGAACTGTGAGAGCAGCAGTGAAAGAGCTGTCAACCTCTGTCCCAGCTGCTTGCATTTGGCAGTTTCCAAAATCCCTTCTTCCCAGGACATGTGTGCAAGGAGATAGGGGCTGAGGAGTTTCAGGAAGCCAGGCCAAGAAGCTGTAGGGGATTTTTGCAAGGATGAACCAAAGAAGAAATTCCAGTGACCCCTTGAGCAGGTTCATCATGTAGTATAGTCAAACTAAAGTCTTGCCTTCTTTTCCAGGAGCAAAACATGCAGTGGTACATGTGGCTGTGGATCATGCAGGCAGGGAAGAGCTTGTCTTCTGCACGAGAACCAGCAGCAAGGCTCTGTGTTGTGTCTGTGTCCCTCATGCCCACCCCTATCCCATCTTCCCTAGATTTGAGGTCAGTGAAACACTTTTCTTTCTGCTGGTGGTGGAGGGACATTGTTCATAGAATTCAGGGCTGCTCCAGAGGTCTCCAAAGGCCTGTGCTTGCCAGGATTAGCAGTGCTGGCTTTGACACTCAAGCCTCTTTCTTTTGAAGGGAAAGAAATCTTTCACTGTGAACTTCTTCCACTCCCAGCTGCCCGTGAATAATATAACTTATAGCTGTTGTTGCTGTGCTACAAAAGCTTTGCCTATAGATGCTCCTGACCAGTCTCGTGTCATTCATCAGCCACATACTTTAAAATAATGAACGCCACAGGCACCGAGCCACATGCTGCACTGCTCCCTGATGCAGTGCTGGGTGCCTCCTGGCTGCTCAGTGCCATCTTCTTGTGGGCTCAGGGATCTGCTTCAATGTCACTTCCATTGTCAGAGCAGTTTGGCCTTTGTTACTGCTGTGGTCCCCTCTCCTGGAGGAGCTGTGCTGTCAGTGAGCAGCCCATGGCCCTGCGTGCCAGAGAGGGTTAGGAGGAGATAGTGTCCCTGTTTGCCAAGTCACCCTGGCTGCGTGGTCCTTTTTGAGATGGTCCTTTTGCTTCTGAGGGAGGCCAGAAGTGTTCCTCACTGTTATGCAGAGAACGTTTTCTTGTAACACTTCATATAAACTGCTCTGTAGTCCACAGCCATCAGCAGGCAGTGAGGTGTGTGTGCCAGATGGCATTCTCTGCATGCACTGTGCAGCAGTGTGTGTGAGCAGAGCAAGGCAGGTTTGTGACTGCTGCTGCATCAGGAGTGGTGTGCAGATGCATCTGCTCTGCCTGGGTGCCAGCCCTGCACAGCACAGAGGTGTGGAACTGTGTTTATTACAGTTAAAATGACTTTGAAAAGTAGCCCTGCACGTTTGTGAAACTCAGCTACAGCAACTGCTTCCTTATTTAAATAGAGTATTGCTAATTGGTCTGTATTGCAGAGATGATGCGTGCAGAGCAGCTGAGAGAGCAGAGGTGGTCGGTGAGGTTTTCCACAATGATCAATGCCAGGAAAACCTGAACTAACACCCCCTGGCTGGTTGGTTAGCTCTGCTTCTTCGGCTTTGGAGAGCTAGATTGTATTTCCCTCTGTCATGGGCTGATAGTGAGCATGGCCAACTGAAGAGAACAGGGCAGCACAGGGAAACCCGGGTGCCAGCAGGATAGCGAGGTGCTGCATCAGATGTCAGCATGGCTTTGGGAGAGCTGCAGTTGGTGGAGCTGGTTTGGCTGTGCAGGGTGAGCCTCAGCCTTGTGCATAGGATTGCTGTTAATTACTGCCTGCCGTTGCAGCAGGACTCCTCACCCTCCTTCAGTGAATCACCCACCTTGTTAGCCAAGTACCTTTGCTTCCACTCTTCTGTCTCTGGTTAGAGGCTGCAGCTCTGCTGTTTGCTGAAGCCCTGACACACGTTGCCTGTAGCTGCGTGCTGTGGGCTCTCTGCTGCCGCCGCCTCCCTTTGCAGCTTCCCCTGTCTTGTTTTCTTCAGCTGTGGCATTTAAAATCTGTATGAGCTCGACTGAAATACTGTTTTTGCACACATGTGAGATAATGTAATGCGTCTCTGACAGCTTCAATAAAAGGAAATGAGACATGCGGAAGGCAGGCCATTAAGAGCAATAAAATAAACTCGAAAGTGTGTTTTTTTTGTGCATCTCTTTCAAGCACACTACTGGCTCCACTTCAATCCTGTTACCTGGGGCCAGTTCCTACATGACACATGCTGTTGATCTGAGTGTTCTTTGTTCTCTCACTGTATTCGGAGAGCCCCAGGTTGCCTGCTTGCATTGCTAGATATGACTCAGTCTCTTGTACTAATTCTTTGCAGCAAATACTTTATTTTCTATACATTTTTACTCCTCTTCTGCAGAGGAGTTACATAAGGATGAGGACAAATGGACTCTAAATGGGATCTAGGTAAATTTCCTATGGGAAATAAAGATCCTGATTTACATTGCATTGTCCTACTGGTTTTTGCAACCTTAAGCCTTGTTTGAGGCTGCTTCACTGCAGGTAGGAATGGCATAAAGATGTTTTCTTGCTGCCATGCTCCTACCATAGACAGGCACAGCCTGGTGGCAGCTGCAGGCTCAGGGGGGGCACTGTAATGCTTCTGCCCCATAACCCACACCGTGCCCACTCAAAAGACACCATGGGTCCTCCCAGTGGAACAGTCCCCCCTCACCTGGCCACTGCCCATGCATTCAGGCAGCCCTGGGCCCTGCAGAAGGAGCTGCAGAGTGTCCATCATTGGGTCCTCTGTGAGCATCCTGCCATGCGTTTCCTGCATTCACCCATACCCTGGGTCACCTCAAAAGAAGCTGAGCAAGCAGCATCCACCCCTTTTCAGAAACAACAACATTCTTTGAGTCAAATGGTTTTTTATTACAGAACTTAAAAGCCACTTAATTCACAAACACCAGGTTGGGGTCCCATACGGAGCCTCCTAGCAGGGGGGAGGGCAACATTTGGCTGACAGTAACAACAACAAACAGCAGCCATCACCCACCGTGCAAAGCTGTACCAGCACACAGCCCACACCTCCCCGTGCCCACAGCTGCAGCAGTGCTGATGCTGATTGCCTCCAGGTGCACAGGGTGCAGGTGTCTGCTTTTAGCATCCTCCCCTCACCCAAACTGTGCAGCAGAAGGGAGTGTAATGGGTTTTCCCTGAAGGATGTGGAGTGGGTGTTCTGCTGAACTTTCCCCCTCTGCAGTGGGTGATGTTTTCCTCACAGCCTACCCTGAGGCTGTCTGGGCTCCTGTAGTATTCAGAGTGATGGTTTTGCTGCTGTTTGTTGTGCCTGTTTCTGCTTTTTCTCCAGGGCTCAGCTCTTGGTTTTCCAGCAGGTGTGCTCCTGGTCAGGCTCCTCCTACAGCTCCAGGTAAGCTGGTTTAGCTGAGTGCTTTGTAGAGCTGTAATGAGATATAAGTATGATTTCTTGGGGTTACAGCCAGCAAGAGAAAGTCAGGCATGGGTAGCAGCAGCTTGTAGGCTCCCAGCAGAATGCTAAGCAAGTTGGAAAGCATTTCTCCTCCACAACCCATGTTCCTTGCAGCATGCAGAGTGCAGTGCCCAGAACCAGTGCTGTAGTATTGAGCTCTGGGCCTGAGCAGCAGCTTTAGACAAAACCTTAAACAAGTGTGAAGCAGTTCTTTAATGCAGTGGTAACAAGAGGCCCTGCAGCCATGATAAGCAGCCAGTTGCCATGTGTGCTGCTCTGCTTGATTTAGTGTTGTTCCTTTTTTGTTTTTCCAAGTCATGTGAGTTTTATGGCACTTTGCTGTAGGGTGCTGAATTGCCTCTGACACTTCTGTAATACTCCTCTTTTTTTCTTTGTATGTGCAGGTGTATGACTGCAGCATTCCTGCCCAGACGGTGCCCTGCTCGGTGAGTGTAATGGATGGGTTTAATCTCTGTCCCCTACAGCTCTTTGGGGTGTGCTGAGATTTGTATATCTTCCTCTCTGACTTCTACTGAAGAGGGAAAACTTTGTGCATCTGGAAAGAAGAAACAGAGGATGCAGCTAGTAGCATGGGGAGGCACACCACAGCCACTCAGCTGGACACAGGGCATGGCTCAGGTCTGCTGTCTGTGCCCCCTGTGTGCTGGTACTGCTGCTCCTGCAGTGCTGAGCTGTGGGCCTTGCAGCAGTTCAGGGAGCACTCTGCAGTCTGGCTTTGGCTCTGCCTCCTCATCTGGAAGGGGCTCTGTGGAGGGTGAGGTGCTCAGGGTAGCTCAGACAGCCAGCAGCATTCAAGTGAGGGTGGGAGGAGAACTGATGCAAACTCGGTATATGTTAATCTGCACTTTGGGGCATCCCCAGCTGTAAGGCTCAAGGGTGTAAGAACAACAGGCAGCCGAGCAGCAGAGACATCCACAGCCATAGGGGTATTCTCAACATTGTGCTGAGTGATACTGATGTGCCTGCCATACAGCCCTTGGGGGTAGGATGAATGATTGTAGTGTCACTAAAAGAAACAAACCTGGAGCCCCAGTGCCCGGGCTGTGCTCCAGCCCTGCAGACACACTTCTGCCCTCCTGAGGTTATAGGGTAGAGGCAGTGCCCTGCAGAACAGTGGCCCTCCTGCCCACACGCAGCTGGTTTGGCTGCTGCTCTGGGGGTGAAGCCAAGGGGAGCCTCCAGCCCAAGTGTTTCCTACCTTCACTTCATCCTGCCCTTATGTCTGTTAATGGGCCTGCCCTGCCTGCATCCTCAGGGACTAATTGCCTCACACTTGAGCAAATGTGCTCGGGGTTTAAAAGGAGTCTATCGATCTGTGCATATTCCTGAAAGCCTCACAGGGCCCTGTTGCCTTTGAAGTGTAAAAACATCCGTCTGTCTCTCTGCTTTTCCAGCAGTCTCCTGCACCATTTGCATCTCCTCCCCATTGCATCTCCCTGGCTGCCTGCAGCCCCACGCAGTGCCCGGCTGTGGCTGCCCACCACAGGAGGATGGGGACAAAGGTGCAAAGCCCCATGAGGATGGGAGGCTGAGCTATTTCTGAAGGCCAATTTCCAGTCCTTCCCAGACTTTGAGAATGCTCTCACTGTGCTTGGGGCAGAAGCTGAATGTGCATTCATCTGTAGCAGGCAAGTTTATTAGAAAGGAAAGAGAACAACCCCTGGCTTCTTCCCATCACGGTCCTTAGCTTCTCATGCAGACAGTGAGGAAATAAGGTAAGATTCGGGCTGCTTTGGGTGATTCACCCTGAAATGTGCAGGGGTGACCAGAACTTGTAGTGGTTCTCTGATGTGGATTGAGAAAAATCCTGTTGAAATGCAGTGATGTGGGCAACGTGGCTGTGATTCTCCCCATCCCAATTCCCCATATGCCTGAGCTGGGCAGGCTGGCTGTGCTACTGGGCTGTTTAACTCAGGCACAACCATACAGAAATGACTTTGCTGGAGCAAGTGGGACTCCTTGGCTGTCCCTGGGGTTGTGGAAGGAGGACAACGCAGCTCAATCCAGCCCCAAATTCCAGGGCTACGTGTAGCTGCACCTCCCAGATGGTGCCTTGGGTTTCCTATTTCAATGGGGATTTGGCAGCGCAGCGGTGGCACCTCGCTGTTGGAGGCAGTAAATGGGCTCCCATCTGGTTGTAATGATCAGTAGCACTTTGGTGCTTGTTTATCCTCATGTTTTATGCTTCGGCAATAAAACACTGCTTCAGTTTGTTCGATCCATCCCAGTGCTGGATGGAGATGAGTTCACAGTCGCTGACAAAGCGGTCCCTGTAGTGTGCAGGGTGTTGCTTTTTTAACCAGCTGGGCAGGATCCGATGATGTAGTGACAATTAGAAGGTGATGAGGGGGAAGGAGAAAGCAGCTTGTGTGCACCTAGCAAAGAAATCAGACCTTTGGGTGGAAGGGAAGGGACTGAGCAGGGTTTGGCTCTGGTGCTGGAGCTGTGCTCGCTCCCTCCTGTCCCTGCAGGGCTCTGACATGGAGCCAAAGGCTGTGGCTGAGGGGATGGACAGGCACAGGGATCACACAGCACTCAGGCACAGAGGTCACACAGCAGCATCGAGAGGGGAATGGGCTCCTGCTGCCCCTCTGGGTTACGGATACCTGGAAACCTTTGGCCTTCTCAACTCGCGTTCCTGCTGTAGAGGAGCATGATCTCCTCTACTTCATTTCCCAGCGCTGTACTCCTTGGAGGCTCTTTAGCTCTCATCTGTGGGGGGATGGGAGGGGGTGAAACACACGTTTTTCTGCACAAAGATCCTTTTTCCCAACTGCCTGTCGTGGCACGTAGCTGCAGGACGGAGCCAAACAGAGCAAATCTCAGCGAACGAGTTAAGCCCCTTCCGAAGCGCTGCGGCTCCGTTCCCAGTTCTGCTGCCTTCGTGCCGACTTTCCCTGGCAGCTCTGACCGAGACGGGCATTTCTCGGGGCCGTCCCAACTCCGTGCCCTGCCGGCTTTACGGGGATAAGGGGAAAGGTGCGGTGGGATCCCATCTTAGGGCGGTAATAGGGCTCACAGTGCCACCCAGTGACCGCGGGACCCGAAGAGCGCAGCTGCGCTCCCAGCTCTCACTCGGCGGGCGAGTTCCCTGCCCACCGACGTACCCATAAGAGATGTGACCCCTGGGGAGGGTCCCAACCTGCGGTTTGCTCTGAGAGTGCTCACGAGTCCCAGCAGGGCTCATGGGAGAGCACGGCCAGGCTTGAAGCCCAGCAACCCAGGCTGTTGAGCCCCTGCTGGGGGAGTATCCCTGGCTTCAGGTGGCAGCACGCTCGGTGGCTTTCTGACTTACATCCCAAGGTTAACGCACGACCTTCCCTCCTTTCTGCCCAAATCCTGCCTGCATTCCTCGCTGGGTTGAGCCGTGTGTCACGTTCCCAGGTGAGCAAGTGTCAACAGGCAGCTTTAGTGGCGGGGCACAGGGAAAGCAGCCAGCTGGGTGCAGTGTCAGCAGATCCCGAGGTGGCTCCCAGTGCTGCAAACTGCTGCCCCAGCACTGCCCTGACATGTTTCCAGCAGGGACTGTCTCACGGAGAGATGCAGACTGAGGCTCTATTTTGGGTGATGACTGCAGAGCCCACAGAGCTTTTGGCAGCAGGGAGGGGTTTAATCTGCTTGTCCTTCTCCAGGTACGTTCTCTCCTTCTTCCACTCCCCTCCATTTTCTGTAGCTGTCTCAGTGCCACTGCCTTAGGGCTGCAGGGCTGCAATATGTGGCTGAAATGAGGCCACTGCAGCAAGGGAGGCACGAGTCCTGCACTCCTGATGGATGAAAGTCCTAAATCTTCACTGCCCTGACAAGGACTGCAAGCTTTCTGCTCTCGGGTTGCTCCCCAATGTGTCTTTATTTTTGCCTGTTTAAATTTAGGCCAGCATTGGTAACAAGCTGCCATCGCTGGGCAGCACGAAGCCAACATGCTGCAGTCAGAGCCATTTCCATCCCATCACCTACCCCTGGTGCTCAGGTGGTTCCTGATGACTGTTCTGATGGAGGTGGGTAACTCAGCCCCATATAGGCAGGAGTTGCTACTGAGTACTGGAAGTAACCCTGATGTTGTTTCTGGGGTGCATCCTGCAGTGTGGGATGACTCCATCAGTGACAACGCACTGCTTGTGTTGGTCAGTCGTGCCTTAACCCCTCCAGCAGAATCCCAGACCCATTTTAAGCCTTTTAGTGGCAGACTCCCCCCAAGCTGTGCGTCCCACGTACCGATGGGGGTGCTATTTCTAGCAGGGAAATCCTCTTTGTTAATTTTAGAGCCAGTTCTCCAGAGTGCTGAGCACTCACAGCTCCTGAAGGCAGTCAGGGCAGTGGGAGGTATTTGGTCTTTGAAGGCTACGGCTTTTTCTTACATGAAGAAGCCCCAGTGAGATGAATTGCATTGCCTTTGTGCCAGGTGCTGTGCCAGACGGGGTGCCCAGGAGGCCTCCAGCCCACATGCAGTGCTTAGCAGCAGTCAGTGCCAACAGAGCCAGTTTCCACTGCTTGTCAGCTGTGTTACCTGGGAAGAGAAAAGCTGTTCCTCTTCAAGGTCGGTTGATTAATGGTATCACTGGTCACAAGATGAGTGCAAAAAAGAGGCAATGCAAAGCTGCAGAAATAGATTCAGCAAATGAAAGTCCCAATGAGAACTCCCTGAACTATTTCCTTATGCAGATCAAACTAGTGAAGTAATAGAATGTAATTAAAAAAAACCCTTGGGTTGGGGTCCAGGCACCCAGGGGCCATAGGGTTTGTACATTACCAGGGGTGCTCCACAGCGATGGAAAAACAGGCAAGTTTGGTTTGTTTTGTATGTGTTTTTAATGACATGGTATGGATAGTGATGGTGCACTCCAGGAGCTGGCAGGGATCCTTGCTTCTTGTCAGGAGCATCCCAGGGGTCTCATGGCAGCGCCGGGCTGCTGAGCAGCAGTGGGCAGGAAGGATAACAGGAGCTGAGCACCAGGAGTTTCCAACCAGCTCCTGTTGTTCGCTTATGTCTGTCCCTTCTGTAGCTTCAAAGCAGCACCCCCTCCTCTCACTCGCTCCTCCTGCATCAGTTGCATCTCTGGGGCTGGGGCAGCCGGGGGAAGGCAAAGCCATGCACCCAACCAGCACTGCTTTGCCCCCCTGTGTGAGCAGAGCTCCTCCTGCCCCGGCCTCCCCAGGGCTTCATTACGTGGTCAGCCTGGGAAGCAGCATATCCACAGGAGCACTGACGGTCACTTGAGGGTCACGCTTTCTCTTGTGCATTTGTTCTTAAATTCCTGACCAAACGCACAATTAGAAATGAAGGATTATTCAGCGCTGACTTTCAGTTGCCCTTGTTGGATAAGCCAGGATGTACAAAGCAGGAGCTGGGTCCCCACAGACACCCCAGATTTAGCTCTGATCCCAATTGTCTGGTGCGCCAGCGGCGGGTGAGACCGACGGCGTGTGCAGGGAGGGTTCTGGTTACAAATGCCTGGAATGAAACAAGCAGGTGCTGGGAAGGTTATCTGAGGAGAGCGCTGTGCTAATTCTCTGCTGCCTCTCACTCACCCCTGCCTGGGTGGCACTTCTGCAGGTGAGGCTGTGTCCAGTGTGTGAGGTGAGACATCACCAACCCCCTGAGCAACGGCAGCAGCTTTTAGTGTGGGTCCAGAGAGCAGAAGTGGGGCTGAGTGTCAGCGGTGGGTGCTGGGGGTCCTTCCCTCTCCCAGGGAGGGCAGTCATGCAGGAGCAGTGCTTGCTGACCTGATTCAAGCTTGAAGAGTTGATGTGATTTCTGCTTGAAGGTGGCATCTCTGGGCTCTGATGTCAGACAGGAGGCTCAGTTGGGGACAGCTGTGATGCTTTCTCTCCTCACTGCACGCCTGTCCCTCTCAGGCTGGTAGCCCTGCTGCAGGACGGCTCAGCTGTCTGCACAATGACTGTCAAAGTTTGCAGCTCTGGATATTAAGGTAACCTGAAATTGGAACTGCTTTACCTTAATACACTGAGCTGTGACTTGTGGTTCAACAGCTGCTGTGAGAGCAGCTGATACGTTCTCTAAAAAAAGGGCAGAGGACACAGCGTGGGACAGAACCCACTGCAGCTGCTCCAAGGTGAGTCATCACTGCTGCTGAATACAGACCTGAAAAGCTTTCCCATGTGCACAAATTACGCTGGTTATTGTAAGCAATGTTTTTTAAAAAAAAAAAAAAAAGGAAAATTGTTCATATGCTGTGACAGCATTTTATTTTAGTGTCTCTAGGTGTACTTGCTCAGGCAGGTTTACATTGGTTGAATCTATTAAGGAGTGTTTTAATATCGCATTGGTTCAGAAAGGAAACCTTTTAATTAAATGAAGGTGACCAACAGGTAAGTCCAGCTCATTCCAGAGAGGCTGTGCTAAAACTTAAGGCTTATGCTGTTTGGGCTGGCCTAACTCAGCTCATTTGAATTTAAGTTAGCAAAAGCTGATGTGCAGCTAAGCCACAAGCAAACCCAGCTTGAGCTGCTGTCACGGGCAGCTGATGGTCAGAGAGCAGAAACTCGATGCACTGTAATGAGAACAAAGAGTCCAGGGACACAATGCAGGCTTTTAAGACATCTCCCTTAGAGCATCTAAGAGCCTGATGTTCCTCATAAGTTTCCTTTTTTCCCCATAGCTCACTTCAAGTTTCAAAACCACTGCTAATGATTTAACTGAATGATCCCCAATATTTTTTTTTTTAAAGTTACAGCTTTATCTCCACTCTTAATTTGCAATGACTGGAGAAAGGCAAAAGATGACCTCCTATTCTTGATCTGCAAAAGCAGGTATTTGTAACATCTTATGCTGACACCATTACTGGGACTGGAATGCCACGTGTCCCACCTGCACTGCTTCAGATAAAAGCAAAATTAAAAGCCTATGTGTAAATCAGTCAAGATGCTCTGTCACAGTAAAGGAAAAACATGGAGTTAAGGACAGTGACAGGAAGAGCACTAAGGGGCAGTGCAGGGGAAGGAAGCCATGCTATCAGTGGTGCTGGAGCTTTTTCAGTCTGCCCCCAAAGCAGTGACAGCACAGCAGGAGGGAACGTGGGATCATCACTCACACAGCTCAGCAGCTGCTGCTTACCTCTGGCTGTGGTTCCAGAAAGCTTCGGCTGGCACACGCTCACCCACAGAGCAGCAGTGAGGCCGTTCGTATTCTGCTCACATATCAGGGGTTTAAGACTGAAAACCACAAATACTGGAAGTTGAGGCAACTTTTATTGAGACTGTACAAGCAGGGCACTGGGGAAAAAAAAAAAAAAACAACAACAGTGGCTTGATGTTGGGACCAGCTCTGTGGAGTGGAGTAAGAAATTAAAAAGGCACTAATCTTAAGAAAAGACACTCCGTATATTCTAAGAATATAATTCATTTAATACTGTTAATTTTGTAGCACAAAAAAATAAAACAAGCCGTGATCCCCAAAATAAACTTTAAAAGCTTACACTTTAATATTATTGCCTGAAGATCATGGTCTTTAAATTACATATTGTGTTTTAAAGTTTACACAGTGAAGACTGTCTCAAATACAAGGCCACCTTTCCCACTGCAATAATTGTATCCTTGTCCCAAAAACGCATTTTCATGTAACACAACAGCAGAGGACAGCTGGAGGATGCTTTCACTGGTCCCCAAAGGCAGTCTTTTAGGCAGGTCTCGCTTTCAGATGCAGGTATTGAGAAAAATGCTCGAAAACTGGACTAGAAAACAAAGGCAGCCCCACTCGTTCCCAGGACGTTAATATAATATAAAAAAATTACTTTACAGGCACATGAAATGGCACAAAGAATGCTGTTTTTTCCCTTTACAAAAATAATGCTCGGGCTTTTCGGAGCCCCAACCCAAACAGGATATTCCCTTTTGTTGATGCTTTCCAATTTGTAAACAATCATGAATTAAATTAGCGCTTCTCCAGTGATGGACACGGATTGAAACAGTTTTCATTGAAACTTTCAGACTGCTCAGAGGCTTCAGTGTGTCTGCACACACACGAGCACAAGGGGACGCAGTGAGCCTTCATGGTGGATAGCTACTGTGGCACCACTTACACACTGTGCTTTGTGGATGGACACCTGACAGCCCAAGGAGCGTTAATTTACACTGATAGGTTACAGCCCAAATGGAAGAGGCTTTGTATAGCAACACACGGCACACAGCAGCGAGCGACTGAGAAGCCAGACAGTCCTTCCAAGAGAAACACACACGGATCAGATGCAGTCTTTGTACGAAAATATTTGTCTTATAGCAAAATGGCAAAGACACGATTTGAAGCGAGGTTCCAATCGGCGTCGGTTGGCAGCGTGCTACATTTCAACCACACCTAACATCACCGAACCGACCGCTGTAACAGAGAAATACCGCTCATCTGGGGCCCAAAATCTGGTTCACAGAAAGTTAAGAATCCTTTTCTTTCCATCAGATGCCACTACACACCATTTTTGCATAGTTTTGAAAGAAAATCTTTTGCTTTTCTGCGCTATCAGAACATAACCTAAAACGACGCACGTGTTCAAGGTGTTCACCTCATCCAATGAGGAGATGAGGCGGGACGCTTATTTTCATGAAAAAAACAACAGGTTAAAAGCTATATTCAAGATCTCAAATCTCACAGTATTTATTTACGGACTTGGACATGCAAAGGAGGAATTCCACAACCAGTCTGAAGAGCTGCCCGGAAACAGGGCACGTCTGAAGTAAGGTTTCTCTGCAGCAGACTGAGCTTAGTGCAGTTGCTGTGTTCACAAGGTGACTTTCAGTAGTACAATCCATGTAGTAAACGTACAGATGGAGTCAGGGCACAGAAATTCATGACCTCCTTTAGTTAAGAGAGCTGCATAGCTTTTTGTTGCAAGACAACCTGGCGATGCCTATTGTCAAGAATTACTCTTACAGCACCAAACACTTCAGTCAATGCTACTCTACTTCACAGTTAATTTGGTAGTAAAATGCTCTACAAGAACTTCTAGACTGTCAGCCACTTGATTAATACTACAAAAGAGAACTAACAGATGAACCGAGAGTTTCTTTAAAAAAAAAAACCAAACACAACAGCATTTTACATCTCTTGTTGGAAATGCCATTCTTACACTTCTTCAGTGTCTCCCATTCAAGGATCTCATGGCACTTTCAGCTGAGTGAGAACAATGTTACTTTTACAAGGATCAAGTGACACAATCAACAAGAAAATGCATTGGAACTGAAGACAACGATAAAATTGACATTTGTAAGAAGCAGTGAGGTTTTGCAGGTGTCTGAAGTTTCTCTTTTTGCTACAATGGACAGCTTCAAATGTTGAAAAACGAATGCATTGGGGCACTACTGTTTTCCTGTCAGATATTCCTGGTTTTCTGCAGCAGATATTTTTCTTTATCCAGGCTGTATTCTGTTAAATCGGTGCTCAAACTATTTTAAAAAATATGTTCCAGTTCACCTAGAAAACACATTTAAAGAAGGCAGAAGATACTACTGTACCTAAGCTTTCACATCCTGTAACAGGCTAAGGACTTGAGCTGTATGGCATTGATAACACTCACATAGCTACAGCAATTACAACAGTACAGCTTATGTACAGAAAAGGGGAGAGAAAGCTGTACTGATAACAGACACCTGTGTGGCCTCCTCCAGCCTGAACATTAATGGTAAGGTGGGAAAACCTTGGCAGCTGACTGCAATTAACCATCTTCTAGAGGATGCTGGGAGTAGGAAGGGTCTGGGGCATATAAAAGCCAGAGCCAACTTCTTTAGAAGGGTAAAGATTGTAGCATGAAAAGGTTTGTGGTATGAGGAGGGAAAAAAGAAAAAAAAATTCTGGAAGAGGAGCACAGCAAGGTGGAGATGCCCTGGAGAAAAAGGTACTGTGTTCAAAGTCTTCAGCAAGTTGGGGCGGGTATAGCCAGGAAACTTGGGAGTGATAAGGGAGCCTACAGAGAAATGGGTATAAAAGGCTTATGTTTAAATAATAGGATTTTATCAGTTTTTACCAAGGTCTTCTGTCCTGTTCCTTTCATACTTCTTCATGCTGTGGCAATCTGATCCATCTCCCTACCAAGTAACAGCTTGGTGACAAGCACTACTATGTTAGTAAAGCTCTACTTCCAACACTGCAGAAGGGCTCTGTGTAGACCAGGCCAAAATGTTTCCCTTTAAAGCTCACTTACTACAGTTAGTGCTTGCAAAATCAACAGAAATACTTTGAGTATGTAAAAAAATGGGTTACGAGTGTGAACCCCTCCTAAGTTTCCTTATAAATAAATGCCTCAGCTTCAATGCAGCTCAATCAATGGTTATTTGTATTTAACACACACTTTCAGGAAGGTCAACAACAAGCTTAAGAGTTAACAGAAATGAGCAGCTTCTAATGCAACTGCTTAGAATACATAAGCTTCAATTAATGTCCTTTAAAGAGACCATCATTGTAAGTGTACTACCTTAGGGCAGGTTCTCTTAAAACTAAGTCGTCTTCAGTCCTAAAATTGCATTTTTGTTGTTGCTTTTTGTTGGACAGTAACAGATGAGTTGCATGTTTGCTCTAAGATTAGGGCTCTTCCTACTGAGCAGGCCAGAACAAGTCCATGGAAGTCTCAAGAAGAAGGGTTTTTGTCCCATGCTTGTCTGCTATATGCTTCAGTCTTCTCCAGCTTAAGGCCCAATACAGTTTTAAAAGTGAAACCAAATTCTGGTTGATGTATCTATGGTATGAAGGTCAGGCAGTGACTTCAGTTGTATGTATTCCAAATGTGTATTAAAAGAACTGTCAAACTGCAGCAAGCTGGAAAAATGGGCAATGCTAGCAATGTGCCATTTAGCCATCATCCCACCTCAAACAACACTAATGAGAGCCAGGAAAGGGAAGCAGCAGTGTAAATCAGATCAAGGGAATCATTCGTTCTCATCTGGGTTTTGAGGGTCAAATATTTTGACATGTGTGAATGGGAAGAGCCCTTTTCGCCCGTTGACCTCTCCTTCCCACTGACCGTTTATGTTCATCCTTGTAACCTTCACAATATCTCCAACCTGCATCATTAAAAAAAAAATCCGTTAGCACACATGAGAATCTCACCTTTGATACAAATCAAGTAAACAAGAACAATAAATACAGCTTCAGAATTATAAATATAATTCCTTTGCATAAGCTTTAAAGGGAAAGCAGTTATTTTTGTTTAACTGAAATAAACATTTTGTTGCTGGAAATCTGCACCCTTGTTGGGAAAAGTTAACGTATATTTACATGTTGCAATAAATTGCTGAACCACACCTTTTCCTGTAGAAAAGCTTACTTCATGCTACAGTATATTTAGCTTAGACAGGCTGACATCACTAAAGCTACCACAAGTAATGAGATGCAACATGCATTCAAAAGAGCACAGTACTTGTTTTTAGCATTAGCAGGTTTACTTCAAAGGAAAATTCTCTTTCCAAGAGATTCCTGTAGCAAACAGACCCAGAGCTCCAGTTCTGGCTGTCGCAGTCTAAGAAATTGGTGTAGTTCTCTAAAATTCTGCATGCTTCCAAGGCAGACAGAAGCATTCTCAAACAGTTGTTCCCAAGTATGAGATGCACAAATTCTAGCTTGGTTTGCTGCTTTCACCTTCACTTCCCGTCAGAGAATTTGAAACAGGAACAATGACTTGTCGAGCCTTTCCTATCACAACTGTGTCTCTTCCTATTTGGCCAAAGACGAACAGAGCTAAGCTATGATCTAGCAAAAAAAGCCATCGGCCCAAGTGGTAAATTACTGTGTTCAATGCAGAGTTTAATTTGAATCAGGATAATTCACAAAGCCAAATGTGTGCTACAGCAGGCAGTGCTGAGGACTGCCTACAGTCATTTCTTCTTGAACTGCTTCAGAAGAGCTGAGCATGTGGCCTGTTGCAGCAGCCCTCTAACTACACCTCCCTTCCTGTTTACTGAATTGCATCTATGTGGTAACTATAGTAAATATTAGACATTAGCTAAGAGCACAAAAGGTAGAGCCATGCTATGACCAACAGCAAGCACCTCAGAAGGCTCTTCCCCAAAGGAGATCCAAGAACTGCACAGCTGGATTCCAGATCAGCAGCCAACTTCTGTAAGCTCCAGAGGTAACAAGCTGTGATCTTCTTGAGGGAAAAACTACCTTTTATTGTTGATATAGTATGTATAACAATTCGTATGCGTTATCTAAATAACATTGCATGTAGAACTGACACAGGTGGTTTCAGGACCTTGGCAAAGGACTCTGAACTGAAACGTCTCACTTAAGA